CTGGAGAAGGATGTCATGCTGGGTAAGGTGGAGGGTCAGAGACAAAGAGGAAGACCCCCAACGAGATGGATCAGCCAGGTGGCATCATTGATGGCGTCAAGTGTGGCAGTGATAGTGAGGTTGGCCCAAGATCGGACATTGTTTCGTTCTGCTGTGCATGGGGTCGCTATGAGTCGGTTCCAACTTGATGGCACCTGACAACAGGCACATGGCAAGCACTCAGTGTTGTTGCTTGGTGCCATGGATTCAATTCCAATTCGTAGCAATCCCGTGTCCACCAGAAGGAAACTCTGCCTGGTCCTGCCCCCTCCTCACAATCATTGCTATTTGTGAACCCGCTGTTGCAGCCACTGTGTCAGTCCATCGCCATGCCAGTCTTCCTCTTTCTCACTGAGACTCTGCTTTATCAAGCATTACGTCTGTCAGAAAAGCACGTGGGATGGAATCTTGCCATTACTGTACAAGTATTAATATTGTTACCATCAAATAGATTCCAACTCATAGGGATCATATAAGACAGACTAGAAATGCTCCATAGTGTTTCCAAGACTGTAATTTTTATAGGGGAGTGCAGTGGCTCTGTAGGATAACAGTGGACTGCAAACCGCAGGGTCAGCAGTTCAAGCCCACCAGCCACTCCACAGAAGATGAGGCTTTCTGCTCCCTCAACGATTTATAGCCTCGGAAACTCTATACAGGGTCGCTATAAGTTGGGACTGACTCGATGGCACTTTAACCACAATGAATCTTTATGGGAACAAATTGTCACATTTTCTCCTGCAGAAGGGAAAGTGGGTTCAAACCACCGACCTATCTGTTAACAGCTGAGTGTTTAACCCCTGTTCCACCAGGCCTCATATTATCATTATTGCCAAACTCCAGCATGAAAGTGCATTCCTCCTCTATAAGCAGCTAATCCAATGCTTCCTCCAGAAACTGACAAGGAAACTGAGACCCAGAGAGGGAACGGGGCTGGCACAATGTTTCCCAGCCTGCAGTGGGGTCAGAAGGTGGCTCTTTAGCTAATAATACCATCCTGTTCTCAAGCAGCCTCACTTCCTCCACTACAGGCTGAGGGCCCCAGGGAGCTGGTTCCCTCCTTTAGGAGGGAGTTTAAGGACATGTCCCAGACTGTCCTCCCTCACCCAGCGGGGCGCAAAATCATATCAACAAAATCAAGAAGGAATTGAGAGGCATCGCTGCGTAGTGGAGTGCTGATGGGTAATGGAGTCTAGGAGAGGCGGAGGAGCGGGGTGTGGGAGCAAACAAATGTTCAGAGACTTCAGGGGTAACTTTAACATCAACCCTGCTTCACAGTGTCCTTTGTGTAGTTCCTGGACTTCAATTTCTCCATGTGTAATGATGGTGCTGATTTGTGTAATTCCAGCTATTAGAAATGACTGAGAATGTCAATCCATTCTGAACTGAGTGACTTCTCCCCATTTTACATTTAACTGAGAACAGAGGATGAAAAGCATTTATCCAAAATTTTGCACCAGACATAATTAGGGTGGAGTTGAGCTGGGATCTCTTGAGACTCAGTCCAGGGTTTCCTCCTGACCCTTGGGGTATTAGCCTGGCGTCTAAGGACCTAATGAGGAGGCTGAGGTCCCCTATGATAAAGTTGAGGCGGGTCTAGGAAACCCCCAAACTTGCACATTATGTTTTATGCTGTACACTGCTGATTCCTCAGCTCCTAGAACAGTGCTTGACAAAATAGGTGCTCCAAAAATATGCATTGATTGAATGGAAATGCTGGTGGCACAATTAAGCATAAGGTTAATCATCGAAAGGTTGGTGGCTCAAATCCACCCAGTGGCTCCTCAGGAGAAAAGACCTAGCTAGCGATCGGATCCGCTCCCATAAAGAGTTCAGCCTAGGAAGCATTGTGGGACAATTCTGCTCTGTCATATAGGGTCACTACGAGCCAGAATTAATTCAGTGGTATCCAACAAGAAGAAATGTCCAGAATTCACTTTGACTTTTCCAAGGGGGCTATTCAAAAGGTTTGGGTCCCCAACACTTCCATCCCAGTAGCTTCATGGTGGTGGGAAGGGGTGAGAAGACCACTAGGCACCCCCAAATTCTAGGCCTTCCTCTCTCCACTCCCCTCAACACCCTGCTCCCCCCATTTCCTGCATCTCAGTGCCCTCCCTTCCTCCTCTTCTTGCCCCCTACAAAACCACTTTGCTCATTAATTGTATTTTTTTTCTCCCATTCCCCTCCTCCCTCCTCTTCCTTTCTCTGAGAGGGGTTTCCAGGAACCTCTTCTGGAAACTTCTGGGGTAAGTGGGGGATGGGGGGACTCACATCATCTCTTCAGGAGCTTGGAGCCTGTTTACACACCCATGGGAAGGGAGGGAGGAAGGAAATTTACCAGAAAACAGGGAAGCCTGTCTAGTTCTGCAGGCTTCCTCACCCGACTCCAGGCTGGTTGTGAAGGATGACCATTCCTGGTGACCCCTTGGGGGTCAAGGGAGGGAGGGGTCACCATCTGCCAGGGCAGGCAGCCCTGGCCATCCTGAAGCGTGGGAACAGAGGCAGAGTTGGGGAGGAAATTGGGAACGTAGAATGGCCCCAGAGCTGACTCACAGGCTGTGTGACCTTGGGCTAGTCACTTGGCCTCTCTGGTGACCACATTGGAATAGGGCCTGAGGCATTCCCAGAGGTCCTTCCAACTCAGGCCCTGGCTTTTTGCCACCCTTTTCCCCAT